GCAAATCTCTCGTGACTCATTAGAGTGACTCGAACTGAAAATTTTGAATTTTATCCTTAAATGTTTACCATTCGACTAACTCTATACATATTTAGATATGTACGAGTATGTGAGGCAGTTAGATCAATTATGACATATACTAAGGTCTCATTTGTCAACTATATATTCTAGTAAAAAATTCAAAAAATCACTATAAATTGTCACATCACTGTTTCTATTTTTCTGTATATTTTTCGTAAAAAATTAAAAAATTATTAAAAATTTTGTTCCAAAATGAAGCTTAAATATAAATATTAGGATATATATGATGTGTATGAAACAGTTAGATCAATCATGATATATATTAAGGTTATACATATATATGTATATATATTTTTTTAATTCTATCTTTCTTTATTGCTGTTGAAAATTGGGGCCCTCTTTCTTCTATTTTTCTTTGTAGTTATGATAGTTGAAGTACATTGCCGTTGAAAATTGAGGCCCTCTTAGATTACTGAATATATATAGATAGATAGGTGGATGAATCTTAAAAATTGAATATCATGGTTATACTTAGTTTAAATTTTAAAAAATTGTTTTAGAATTTTTTTTTAAAATTAAAAATTAATTTGGCGAAAGAATAAAAAAATAAAAAATAAAAAATACTTATCATTTTTATATAATTTTATTTTTTGGGAGATCAGAAATAATTTTTAAAAATTTAAAAATATCTTTTTGATATTTATTTTTATCAAATTGGTTTATATTTTTTCAAAATTTTTTTTTTGAAAAGGCTGAAAATAATTCCAGAAAAATAATGCATAGCCAAATAAATACTGAAAATAATTCTTTCTTTTTTTTTTTTTTTTTGCATTTTCACATGTGAATTAATAATTGATTAATTGAAAAAGCTGGGGGAAAAAAAAAATAGATAGGAGGATTCTAGGAAGAGATGTGTGGGAGATAAACCCATCATGTCAATGTAGTCCCTAAAGAATAAGTTGAGAAACATGACCAAAAAAGCCATGAGAAAAAGAGAAAATTTTTAAAGATTGTTTGATTGCAAGAAGGATTAGACAAGGGAGAGGGATCAATTCTAGGAAGAGAGAGGGCTTTGGATTTTAGCCATAGCCACCATGTCAAGACAAACTCTCATTTGGCCACCATAATTGAAGACATCACAAGAAAAAGATGTGAAAGTGCACATTTTGTGTTATCAAATCAACTTTTTTTGTTTTTTTTGTTTTAATTAAAACAAAAAATAGAAAATAAAACCTTACCAAACAAAGCCTTAGCTTTTATATTTATTTATTTTATTACTTCTATCTTTATCTGTAGTCATGTGAGTTGAAGTGGATTGTTGTTGAAAATTTATATCTCCTATTAAAATTGTAAATGGTTAATTTTATAATAGGAATCGCCATATTTCTGTAATGAATTAGTGAACTAAATAATACGAAAATGTAACGTGAACAATTAAAATCCTCTTTAATTATAGGAAAAAAAAATAATGAAATAAAGAAGTATGTGTCTTAACAATTGAATATCAATTTTTTAAAATTATGATAATTATAATGTTAAACAAAATATATATATATATGTATACATATATAATAGTTCATTTTTTTTCACCATTTTTATCTATGGGATCTATTGTTGATTAATTGAAATGGGTGAAGAAAAAAATTAGATAGGAGGATTCTAGAGAGAGCTAAACCATATAATAATTGAGACACATCATCAAAAAGGACATGTGAAAAAGAGAAAATTTTAAACATTGTTTGATCCTAAAGAAGATTTAGACAAGGAGGGACCAATTCTAGAGAGATAGAGGGCTTTGGATTTTAGCCATCTTGTGAAGACAAACTCTTATTTAGCTACCATAATTGAAGACATCACAACAGAGAAAGAGATGTGAAATTTCACACTTTGTGATAGCCATTTTTGTCTTTATGTACACACATTATTGGAAGATTGTTAGAAATTAGTGGAATTGAAACCAAGCTACATATAATTCCATGCTCTAGAAGAGGAAGAACTAGATGAACAACAGAGAAAGAGATGTGAAATTTCACATTTTGTGATGTCCATTTTTGTCTTTATGTACACACATTATTGGAAGATTGTTAGAAATTAATGGAATTTAAACCAAGTAACATACAATTCCAGGCTCTTGAAGAGGAAAAACTAGATGAATAACTTCATAATTAGTGGTGGTTGCGACAGTGATGGTAAGACAATATAATGGACTAAATTATTTGAGCTTAATTCTGTTTGACTTGTTAAAAATTATTTTGTATAAGCTTTTATATAAGTAAACTAAGTTTTAATACATTTTAAATCTTATAAGTTTCAAATTAAGTTCGAACAATTATTATTTGGTATGAATCAATTATATACATTATAAAAAATAAAGTTACTTGAATTCCGCCTTGCATTAAAATTTTTTTGAGATTGATTTGATAGATAAGCAAGTAAATTTTGAATACATTTCAAATTAAACTACGACTACTTACATTCAATTAGACTTTGTTCATTTATTACCCTGGTCCATAACAGGTAGAGAAGCAAATTCATTAGTTTGGGGCATTGATTTTCAACCATTCATGAGTTCAGGAGAATTCAAAAGATTTGACTCGTTTAGGGCCTTGAACCAATTTAAGTTATTACAAACTGGAGTGCAATTCGCGCGGGTTGGGTTGGGTTGGGTTGGGTTGAGTTAGGAATTTGTTCAAGTTTAATTCAAGTTGTGTTAAGATCTGTCTAGGCCTGCCCAGACCCAATTGTAGCCTGAGATTGCCTGTCTAAGCCTAGCCCGAGTTAAATCCGAATTACCCGAGTTGCTCGAATTATAAATGAATTTCATTTTTTTTTTGCAGCTATATTATTAAATTATTAAAATTTGACTCTATTTATATTTTTTTTATTATAAAAAATCATTAATACCATTAAAACAAATAATTTATATAATGTAAGAGAGATGCGGCGTAATAGTCCTTACAATTTATTAGTAAAAATAGAAAAAATAAAATTTTATATTATTTGTATATATAATAATAAATATTCAATATGATTTAATAATCTAAATTACTTTAATATCATGTAATGACTAATAATTTATATGTATATTTAATATTTTCAAATATTTATATATGTATAATTCGGGTTTTGGATTACTCAGGTTGTTTGACGTCTTTATCCGAACTCGTCCAAATTTAATTCGGACTTTTGAATTTTTGCCCAAACTCGTACCGAATTTAAAAATATCTTATTCAAGCTCTAAAAAAATTCAAGCTAAGTTCGAATTGCTCGAGTTGAGCCCGTCTAAATTACACCCTTATTACAAACAACATAATTCATATAAATTTTTTGCAAAAGGTTCAATTTTTTAAAAATTTAAATATAAATTTAGGAGAATTTGATAGACTGGTACAACTTGTCCTGGTCCATCACCCATGAGAGCATTTAAAGAGTTGGTGAAAGCAATGAATGCTTGCTGCTAAAATCAAAAGTACCACACCATCAAGCTAAATGAGTCCAAAAAAGATTTGAAAGGCTGGATTCTCTGACTGAGAGTAAAGAAAAAAGGGTTTGAGCATATATATCAATGAGCCTTGTTTTTAACTTTCAATGGCTTGAAAATGAGAATGAGAAAAGAGAGAGAGTGTTGCACAAAAGCTAAAGCAAAAACTTGATGGTGAACCTTTTGGAGCAATTTCTTCAACATAAACCATACTCCGCACCTGGCTCTTTTTACAAGAAGATGAAATCATCATTGCTAAGAAATCAATAATAATAATAATTAAATATTAAAAAAAAACTTTGAATTTAGAAATAAACTTTATTTTTGTCACATTTTAACTTTTTATTTTTATTTTATAGACACCATAACTTCTCTTGACTCACTCATATCAAGGGGTTGAGCAGCATTTGAATTCCTTATTCTCTTTCTATCAATTATTAAAGAAAAATAAATAAACCCTTTATAATTTGACTTATGTGCACATAACTCATTATTATTTATAAATAAGTATATCTCTTTTTGTAAGTAATGAACTAAAATGCACCATGTGACTAGTTAATAACTTAAGTTCAAAGATTTTTTTTTCTTTTGGAGAGTGGTTATTTTAGTCAAAAAGTCAACTAAAACTAGTCACATCATTTCTCTATTTTTCTGCATATCTTTTTGTAAAAAGTCAAAAAATTATTAAAATAACCTGTTCCCAAACAAAACCTAAGATAATTTTGTACATAAATAATTTTATTATGCAAATTACATACATCTTCATTTTTTGTTTAAGAGATAAAATTGACTTTAAACCCTTGTGTTTTACTAAAATAACAACATAACTATCATATGTCTTGACACATGTTTCGTACTCCTCTTGTTACTATAAATTACCAAAATGTGTACTTTAATTCATAAATCAGAAAAGAAGATTATTTTAAAATAATAAAAAATAATTTATACATGAATCAAATCACAAAGGAATAAAATGAAAATAAGAGCTTGTTTGACATATTCTATATTAATATAATTTTTATCTTTTTATTTTTTTAAATTACATCACTTCTTTATTTTTTATATATTTTTTTATAAAAAAAATATATTTATTTAAATCATCTCAAATAATTTTTAATTATTATTTTTTTATGCTGTGTTTGATTAAAAGATTTGGAGAGAGATTTAAAAAGAAAAGAGAAAAAAATATACGAAATTATGTAAAATATAGACATATTTTATTCACATTTTACCTATCTTTTTCATTTTTTTTTTCAAATTTCTTTTCAAATATGCCAACCAAACGCAGTATTAATATTCCATAAAATTACATATAGTTCTTCTTGATATTTTTAGTACGTCATTGACATCTTGACAAAAAAAAAAAAAACTATATTACCCAATGTCAAAGATTCTCTGACATATATTGAAAATATTAGGAGTGCTGTATGTTTTTATCAAACGTGAAAACTGAATTCACAATTTTTATCAAAAATAAAACTTTAGCCGTAAAATAAAAAAGAAAAAAAAAATGAACAATTGACATGACTAAAAGTAAACTAATTACACTAATCCAATATATCTTTCTATCTCAACATATACATAACATATATTTTGTCTTTCTCCAAATTCTCCCCAAAAAAAAAAAATAAGACAAGTTAACATGGACAGTAGCATCCATGTAAGAATTACATACAGGACAAGTATGTATCAAAGTGGACCCACAACCACTGCATAGACAGAGATGCCTGCATGGCAACAACACCACCCTTGATTCTCTCTCCCCACACTTTCTACACATCCCTCCACCACCACCTCCGCCGCCAACAACCACCACCTCCCTCCTCTCTCCTCCTTCCTCCTCCTTCTCATTGCTGCCACAACATGACTCGGCATCGTCGGTCTCCGCCACTGCCGCTCGGCCACCGTCAGCGACATGGGCCAAGACTTGGTGAAGATTGGTGCGGAGAGAGTTGGCGGTGGCTTCATTGGACTGAGCTAAGTCTTTCCATAATTGGCTCTCTAAGTAGAGATTATTCACTCTTTCTTGAAGAACCCAATTGAGTTTTCCCATTCTCTGAATCTGCTCATCTTTTTCTATTAATTTCTTCTTGATTCCTTCTCCGATTGCTGATACCAACATTCTTGCTTGTTGCTTTTGCCTCTCTTCAAGCTCTAATCTGATTTTCTTTGCCTATCCATACCAAAATCAACAAAGTAAATAAATAAAATCAGCAAAAAACACTAACCACTCACATTAAAATAAGGATTTTAAATATCGGCCCATTCAATCCTGCACGATTATAGTTAGAATTGTGATTTTAAATATTGACCATAATATAGGCACTATGATAAAAATGAAAATTACATGTTTATCAACCATTCATAAATAATTTTTAAAAAACAAATTATCAACCCATTTTTTACCATATATATCAATTTATTATAATATTATAATATGGGTATTATGATAGAATTATGGTTTTGATATCTCCCAATATCTTAAATTGACATAGATGAGTGAACCCGATTCGCAATACATATTGCTCCTCCTAATACTGATTGATATTTAGTATTTTAAATATCAACCGTCATGTATTTGTAATATAATTTTGGACTTTCAATATCAGATAATCACTAATAGATTACTTGATGATGCTGTCCAATATCAAACGATATATAATCATAAATACCGAGAAATATCCCGATCTAATATATTACTCGATACTGTTCGATATCAACTGATATATAATTATACAGATATTCCAATACCGTTATTCTGTTGGTGCCGATATCTTAAAAGCTTCCACGTAACATAGATGAGAAGAAAGCATGAGACTTACATGTTGCGCAACCACAAAATCAATGTCCAATTGTTGTTGATGGATCTGCAATGGAATGTCCTCACGACCCAGAAAAGATGACAATTCAGACTGAGGAACTCTGAAATTACTCATCATCTGGTTCATCGAATTCGATCTACAACGCTTTCTCGAAAGAGCAGGTACATTGTAAGTCACACCACTCTCTGCTTTCACCGGAACAGAGTCCCAAACCAAAGAGAATTTGGATGAAAGGGAAAGAGAGTCCTCCGGGCAAATGTGCTCCCGGCGAAATCAACGCCGGAACCCATCTGGGTTTCGTATGTTCCGGCGATTCCTCCATTGTTGTTGACAAGATCTCTGCAAAATTATGTTCATAATTGAATTTCAGATCAGACCCATATCAGAAAAAGCTAAATACAGAGAGAAACAGAGTTGTACCTGTTTGTGATGAGTTGTGGAGGGAAGAAATTGAGATGTCTTGCTTCAACTGCCATGAAGGGCTGTGAATTTTGTTTTTTTGGTGTTTGTGTGATGGGTTTCTTCAAAGAACATATATATATATATACAGAGAGAGAGAGAGAGAGAGAGAGCATGCAACAGATGTGGGGGACTGGGTCTAGTGTTTGGTTAGACAGAAAATAAAAGAAGTCAAAGATTGCTTTCTCTAGGGGGAGAGTATTGTGTTTAATCACTAATCTTATAGAGTCAAGAAATCTATATATACACTTTCTTTGTTATGAAAGAGTCCTATCCAAAGAACTATTTAGTAAAACAAAAAGAGTGGCAAGATTTGTGTTGATTTGACAAGTATAGAAAATTTGGAAATTTTAATATTTTTTTATCTAACAAAAATAATAATAAAAATAACAAAATACATAATGGCGACGTGTATTTTAATGGGTAATTTGTTACCGTATAATTCACTACTACTACTACCAAAAAAAAAAAAAAAAAAAAAAAAACAAATTTGACTACTTTTTAATAGAGACTGAGTTTACATCCAGGTCAAAGTTGAATGGAGGGTTTGTCGCCCACTCTGGATATATCTTGATTATTCGAAATCTTATTCTTTTAATGTTTTTCGAGAGTAGATTAGATAAAAAAATAATGTCGATTAAATATTAATAATTATATAATTAAATTATATTTATTTTTAAAAAAATAGATGATTTTGAAAAAAAAAATTACACTTATTGTATATTTTTTTAAGATAAATATGATCTAATTATATATAATTTTTTTAAATAAATATAATTTACTTATATGATTATCAGTGTCGATCATTCTAATTTTTGTATATCAATAATCTACTTAATAGGCACTAAAAAATGACCAATTTAAGTCACCATTGTGAACACAGCAAGCCCATAGTCCCCCTAATTGAGGCCCTCCATTCGACTCTAACTATTTTTTATATTGTTCAGTGGTTGATCTCAACTAATTTCATGTAATATATAGCATTTTCGTCATACATAGTGATCTCAAGAGAATGTGAAAACTTTTGAGATCAAGTGTACTCCCAACTCAAACAACCTATCTCAAGATTTTTTCAATTTCAAAATTTTCAATCTTTCTTGCCAACCAAATAGTGTCAAACAAACTCTATCTTCAATCCAACTTACCCAACAAAGGGGGTGTTTTGCGCTTAAAATTTTAGTCTTTTTCAAGGAATCGAGCTTTTTTTTATAATATAATTATTATACTTTAAAAATATTAATTTTTTAAAACTATCATTTCATAGTACAATTGTTACATTTCAAATAATGTTAGAATTTAAAAGAATGACAAAATAAAAAAATTATATTATTTTAATCTTTATATTTTAAAATACTAAAAAGATAAAATAAAAGACTAATATTATGAGGCAACAAGAATTTGATGTAATTGAGAACACTCAAGACCATGTACAAAGTAACTTCTTGAATTTATATTATACTATTTCGATCGCGAAGCCTATTTATTGTACAAAATACTTATTTCACGCAGTAAGAAAAAATTAAAAGGATAAAATACACTAATACTTTTTGAGATATTATTTAATATAATTTTTTTTTCATGTTTAAAAAATTATATTTATCTCTCTGTCAAATTAAAATGATATATTTATCTTTTAACTTTTATACACATAAAATAATAAAATAACACTGATATTTTGTTCATGTCATTTCAAGAGAAATAACAATTATCTTCTTTGGTTTAACTCAGACAAAAAATTAATTTTTTTTATTTTGGTATTTTTTATTTTTATTGAATTTTATTTACTATTTTAAGTAATTTTTTAAAATTTTTTAAATACATCTAATCTAAATATATTTAAGCAGTATAATATTTTGTGATTTATTTTTAAATTTACCAAATAAAAAAATATAAAAATACAAAAAATCAATAATACTGTAATAAATGTGAATGGTGGTATTTGGTAATACTTTAATAAATATAGGTGAATAGACAAAAAAGAAAAATGATGGTGGAAATAAATAAAAAAAATTCTATTCATATATAATAATTTATGCAAAAAAAATATCATAAAAATGTTGTGATAATGATGTTGTTGTAAATATAAATCATATTCATGGATATTTTGTTTTAATATGAAACGTCACCATTTAGTTATATTATTGTATTTGAAAATTTTATATAAAATTTACATTTGTATATCATCACTCAATAACAATATGTTTAGGTAAATTTAATTATGAAAGATTGTAGAATATAGTCATTATGATAGGAAGAAGAAATGATAGAAAAATGACAAAATATTCATTTAGAAAATTTTAGAGCCTAATATCAGCAATTTAGAAGATAATTTGTAATTTGTAATAAGGGAAATATAACTTTTCAAACGTAAGATTGTATTAAATAAAAATTTCAGAGGATGTCAGTATAATTTACCCAAATTAAAATTTATTACATGAGTTAAAAAAGATGACCTAACTATGTATCTGTCTAATAAAATTATATTATCTTTTTATTATTTTTTATTTTTAACATCATGTAATTTTTAATAGATCACTAATGCAAACTTTTTAAAAAGTGGAAGAGCATCCGCATTAGATTCTTTAAATTTTTAGTCAAATTAAAGTTGAAAAATATATTTTGCTATTTTAGCTGGTCACTCATTGCATCAAACTTACTATTTTAACTCAATCCTATTAAAATATTTGTTATTCTTTTTTTATAATTAAATTGATGAGTTGTCAACCAAACAATTTTTATGTTTTACAAAAGGTAAAACTGAAGGAAATGTAAAAAAAAAAAAAAAAAAAAATGCCATTGACGAATTGACCGGCCGGACGTCCGGTTACACTCAAATCGCGTGTTGTAACGATGAACAGTTACTCGCTTCATTAGAGGAGTTACTGTAGCAAATTTAATAAAAAGTTAATTTAAAAAAAAATTGTTGAGACTGATGGAGGATGAATTTGAAGATTTATTAACTATATTTTAACTTTTTATTATTTTGAAAAAATTGATGCTGATGCTCTAATGCTAGAGGTCCTAAATATTTTATTAAAAAATTTATCTAATATTTTATATGATTATAAAAACTACACCATATAAGTTTTAAATAAGTCTTAAATGAATCTCACATTTATATAAAATATTTGAATTTGTTAATATTAATCGTCTTAAAAACAGAGGTAATTACACGGAGAAGCGGGAGTTGGTGTGACTGCGAACTTCAAGGGGCTCTGTTCCTGAAATTTAGGTTTAAAACTCAGTAATTGGCATTGGTTGCGTGGGGTGCTACGTGGGGGGCTGTCATTTTGGTTCTAAGTAACCAACAAACTCAACATTCGCCACGTGTCTTACCTTTTTTCTCCTTATGCCACGTAAGTTTTTCTTTTTCTTTGAGAAACGTGACAAATATGGGACCCACATTGTCGTACGTGTGAGGGGTCCAAGATTAGGACACGACAAATCCTTATGATTCCTGTTTGCCACGTTCGAAGTGGGCCTCTTTTTCAGGTACTGTGGACCCCACTACTCATGTTCTTCTGATATGCGGTTTTTGGCCTTTTTTTGCAACCTTCGTCCGATTCCATAACTGTCCGGGCACGCAGTAATTATTCAATACTTCCAGGTACATCATAAAAGCTGTATACATGCTCCCAATAAATAGCCAGGAATAAATATTCATAAAATGTTATAGGTCTCAAAATTTCTGTCAAATGAATGATCAAATATCTTACATGGTTGTAAGGTTGTAAACTCCACTATACGAGATATTTGATCATTTATTTGATAAAAAATTTGATATACCTAACATTACTCTAAATATTCATTAATTGTAATCTTGTTTGGCAAAGATATTTTTTTTAAAAAAAACTTTTTAAGTTAAAATTTATTGAAAAAAATAAAATAAGTTAAAATAGTTAATTAAGTAAAATGTTATATCAAATCTATAATCATTTTATTTTTTCTCTTACAAATATCATATCTAATTATAAAAAATTCAATAATATTTCCAAGCACATATGTTTTAATCTATTAAAATAACTAAAAATTAAAATAGCCTACAAAAATAATCAGCTTCTCAAATGAGGCCATTTGAACTTATCTGTTAACTTTGAGTTGTATTTTAAAATTATTTTGGGTTTATTTTTTTAGACATTCAAAAATATGTTTTTTTATTTTTTTAGGGTAAATATTTTTTATTGTTAATATTTATTTATTTTTTTAATGTGCATTATATTTACTACATTTGTGTGTTGTATTTTTTTAAATATTTAATATTTACAAAATTTTATCTTTTTATTTTATATATATAAATTTTATTTTGTAAATATTTTCAGTATTTTTTTAAATATTAAAAACTTTTGGATCGTCATATATATTTAAATCACAATAAATTATTTGGTCAATACTTAAAAAAAATAACAAAATATTTTTTCTTGAAAAAATAAAAAATATATTTTTGAAGAAAAATTTAAAATAAAATATAATTTTAAAGAACAAAATAAAATAAATAAAATAAAAATTTTGATTTTTTTTAATAGAGTTTTAAAAAGAGTTTTTGAATTGAGTTTTAAAAACTTTGTTTGGTTATGAGTTTTGAAATTTTTTTATTGGAATTGTGATTCTAAAAGAAACTCAAACGCTACTTAAGTCTTCGTTTGATATTGGCTTTTTTAGTTGGCTTTTTTGTATCGAGACTTTTTTAGCCTGATTTTTTTAGTCTCGTTTGGTTTGGCTTTTTTTTAACTTTTGTGAGAGAAAAAGTGTAATAATTATGATTTGAATATAATATTTTATCTTATTGACTT